TATATGACTAATCCACTCTTAGATTTGTTCACACATAACATCAGTTTATAATTTTTTTTTATTGTTCTTCTCGTTTTCTTTTCCTCATTTTAGTCATTTATGAGATAGTAGTAACTTTAACTATCTTCTTTTCTATCTCTCTTCTTAATACTGGATGTGGCAAGAATCCTTAAGACATAGAACTAGTCGTGTGTATTCTAAGGTGATGACATATACGTAAAATTACATAACTCATGAAACTCTCTCAAAATCTCTACACAGTTTGCTTACCTAAAAGTTGTTACATGAATGAATGTAAAAATGTTAAACAGGTCCTTTTTAAACATTGTTTTTTTATTTTTATTATTTTTTTAAATTTTTTGTTTTTTTTTTGTATTTTTTATATGTTTAATATATATACCTTTCATGCCAGCCTTCAAGTGCCATTTCAAAACCTCGGACAAGGTTCATTGTATCTTTGGGAGAGGGGAAGGTAACAGCATCTCAATAATCCGTACTCTTGTTCTCGTGGACTGCTCACTAGGCATGCTTTTAGCTACATGGCGCAAGCAGGAGCACTGCTTGCGTGACCTTCACCTGGTGAATCACAGTGCTCATTCAGACTTACTCAGCTAGTAACAATACTTTCAGGGTGTGATTGGAGAACTATTTGAATGCGCAGTTCCTTCCACATACCGACCAGGCAGGCACTTGCATTAACTAAATGCCTACCTGGTTAGTATGAGTCAAGTTGCTCCCTTTATCAAATTATCATTTCCCTTTTCCTCTTGTTATTTTCTTCCCTTGTTTTATTCCAACACACCCATGTAAAACACTTACCCAACAATCACAGTGAATATTTGAACTTGTACAGTCTCTGTACCTGTTCAAACTGCCTAGTTGGTCCAAAAATAGACCACACAAATGCATACAAACTCAGGCAACGAAAACATGTATCATGTCTTCATCCTACTTCTACTTAGAATCTTATTCGATGTTTCGTAGCCATGGCTGTTTGCATTCCTTTTTTAAAGACTTACAATCCTTACATCAAAAACAAATCTAATCTTATTCTTCTTTTAGAGCCATTATCTTATAATCATGGCTATACATGGGAAATGAAACCATCAAAAAATTAAACATGATTACAAATAAATAAAAAAGAAAATTAAAAAATAGATCCTTCTGAATCTGTAATTGAGTTCTACCACTTAACCAGCTTCTTACATCCCCTGATCATACATTTTTTGTGTGTCTCCATCACAAGTCCCTGTCACAGGAGAGATGGGCATCAATCACATTTCCTATGTATGTCTTCAGTGCCTGCTTCGGGAAGTGATAGAGGTTACTGCTTTTGGTATAGCATTCCACTTTTCCAACCAGCAAATGATCAGGCCACGTAAGCTGCAGACACGACTTAAAAAGTTTATTGTCCTATATATAACAAGACAAAAAAATATTAGCTTTTATCAAAGCACTGAATATGATTTATGTTGCAGAAAGTTGTAGTTTTTTGTTTTTTAAAATGTTGCAAGACATGCGTGAAAAATAATATTAATTATAGTAATGAGACCAGTTTGACCTATGAAGAATTTGGGTTACCATAGTCTCCCCTCCGGCAGTGACATCAGGGGAAACACGTCCCAAGATGTGCGTGCTTGAGGGCAGCAGGACAACAGCAGTTAGCCTAATTGAGCACATTCTGTAGATCAATAACAAGGAGGGAACAAGACACCTCAATGATGTAGGTTAATTCACCAATTTTGAAAATATATATATAACATATACATCTTTTTTTCTGTATCCCATGGAGCTCAAGTTGCACAACAGCACTGCATACATATGCTGTGAGCCACAGGACTTAAAACCTTAAATTTGGTGAACTACTCTAATCACAAGATTGGATACACATTGCTAGATTTCCATGGCACTGGAAAAACTGGAATTTTGACAGTATCACATGACTTTTTTTAAACCTAAGTTTATCTTCCAACTCCACTGTTGGACCAGAACAGTTTTACTTCATGTGAGATTTTAGACTGACCTGTTTTTTTTTTTTTTTGTTTTTTAAAATGTTGCAAGACATGCGTGAAAAATAATATTAATTATAGTAATGAGACCAGTTTGACCTATGAAGAATTTGGGTTACCATAGTCTCCCCTCCGGCAGTGACATCAGGGGAAACACGTCCCAAGATGTGCGTGCTTGAGGGCAGCAGGACAACAGCAGTTAGCCTAATTGAGCACATTCAACATATACATCTTTTTTTCTGTATCCCATGGAGCTCAAGTTGCACAACAGCACTGCATACATATGCTGTGAGCCACAGGACTTAAAACCTTAAATTTGGTGAACTACTCTAATCACAAGATTGGATACACATTGCTAGATTTCCATGGCACTGGAAAAACTGGAATTTTGACAGTATCACATGACTTTTTTTAAACCTAAGTTTATCTTCCAACTCCACTGTTGGACCAGAACAGTTTTACTTCATGTGAGATTTTAGACTGACCTGTTTTTTTTTACTTTACGACTCAGGCCAGGTGGACAATTAAAACTGTAATTCTAATATATATGATATTTACATGCAAGTAGGTTTTTTAAGTCTGTCTTTCAAAATGCCATGGAAGCCTATCACTGTGGCTCATAATGTACATACAACAAATGCACGCAGCAAAAAATAGATATATGTATATATATTTATATATAGTAGTCCAACAAAATACATGCCGATGTAATAATAATACACATTATTATGCTTTATTCTTGCCTTTGCAAGCGATCCACATAGTTTAACTGGGAAACATCATCGTGCCTTTGTCATTACATCAGACAATTGGATTTCTTAACCATTCTAGTTTATTTTAGATACTTTCTGACTGATGGACTACTGTTCCTAACCATTCACATGCAGGGTTTATCTATTCAGTATGTTGCATTCAACACAAGACACTGTACACGAACAACAAGCTTGTCACATGGTACTGTTCGCATCTGCCCAAGGCCTTGCCAGCATGCACACAATCCTGACTCGGCCCAAAACCCAGGCAAGTTGGCTGACTCAGCTCCAGAGAGACGACACTTCCCTTCCATTCAGTTTCGGTGTTTGAGGGACGACTACTGCACATCCCTTCTCAAAGCTCACTTGCTCTTGTTGGTGAAATGAGCAATTCTACTGCTGTTACAGTGCATCTGCTGCTTCACATAGGGACAAGGGGAAAATTGGTGATAATCTCACTGAGACAAGCAACAAGCCTTGGAGACTGGGTGTCGGTGAAAGAGTGGCTCTTGGCACCATATCTGAAGTCTGTTTCCTTTTTAAACGAAATAGCAGACCCAAATACACTAAGGGATATTGTATCATTACTAATCTCACAATACTTGCAGTGACCTGGCGAGCGAGAGAGAGAGTACAAGTCATTTTACCTTTCCACACACATTCCTTGAATGTGGTGCTGGTGAGCAATCTATTTCTAATTCTGTTGCTGTTGGTTACTTTTAGCTTTTATTTCTCTCTTTTAGTGTTTGATTTTCTCCTCTTTTCTTTTCCATAAATGGTTTTGTTTGTTTCATTTTTTTCCAGGGCTAAAATCTGCTTCAATGCTCTTCAAAGGCCTACACTTGTCTTCGCAAAAGTCTTGCTGGGACGAAGAAGGGTTGGAACATGTTCTCCCCTCGGCCTTTTTTCCTTTTCTTTTCGCGTGTCTAGACCAATGGCCCTCTCAATGGCTGCCCCCTCATTATCCTTGGCCTTGTGAACAGAAAACTAGTGAGTAAAAAATGTTTTTCTATATTTTTATTTTGTTTTATTTATTTTTTTTTTTGCTAGAGTGGTTGGACAACTCAAGCTGAAATTTTAGCCACAGAAACCTCTCCCCAATGCTGATTTCATTAAATACTTATAAAAACCCTGTTACAACTCCTTTCAGAAGTTTTATATCTTTTTTCTTCTCATTTCTATACCACTTGGGGCTTGCTTGGGTGTTTTCTCTTCTTTTAGTAGAAGATAAACTAACCATGCAAAAAAAAAAATCTCATAAATACTTCTTGTCTATAAAGCTAGAGTACTCTCCATTACAGTAAAAACTTGAGCAATGATAGCCACAATTAATATTTATAAACACTGTACAGCATATAAAAAATGATAAAAATGCATACAAAATGCCCCATAATCACAAAAAATGTGATGAAGCGAGTACAAAGTTTATAATTGTGCCTGAATCCCCGAGAAAACTGTACTGACCACATGGGGCTACGACGTTCCCATCTTGAGAAGCTGTTCTGTGTGTGGCATCACGTACGTGTATGGCTGACAACCTTTCACAAGTCAATGTCCGCGCTTGGACACCTTTCTGATTTCTCCACGTCTATTCCTTCATCTGTAGTATATTTTTTCCTATGACTAATTCCTAGTATCATTGTCATTAATGTTTTTAGGACATATTCTCATAAATACTTCTTGTCTATAAAGCTAGAGTACTCTCCATTACAGTAAAAACTTGAGCAATGATAGCCACAATTAATATTTATAAACACTGTACAGCATATAAAAATGATAAAAATGCATACAAATGCCCCATAATCACAAAAAATGTGATGAAGCGAGTACAAAGTTTATAATTGTGCCTGAATCCCCGAGAAAACTGTACTGACCACATGGGGCTACGACGTTCCCATCTTGAGAAGCTGTTCTGTGTGTGGCATCACGTACGTGTATGGCTGACAACCTTTCACAAGTCAATGTCCGCGCTTGGACACCTTTCTGATTTCTCCACGTCTATTCCTTCATCTGTAGTATATTTTTTCCTATGACTATTTCCTTAGTATCATTGTCATTAATGTTTTTTAAGGACATAATCTTTCTTAGGTTTATCCATATCACGTCATGATTGGCTTAAACTCTTATTTTATGTCACTGACCGTCTATGACGTCACAAGGATCATCCAAGGCAATTCGGATTACCTGTCCTTTCTTCCTTTAGACATAGGCAAAAAATCAATAGCAGGGATACACATAATTTGATGTACTTTGTTTTATTTTTAGTTATTTTTTTAATGTAAATATATATATAGTTATATCACAGTTTAAGTTTTCTGCCAATTGATAAAAAAAATGTTAGCAAGGTCCATCTCTAATTTTCCATCCACATGCTGTCCCCGGCTAACCATTGTCTGCCAGCACAATATACAACAGTGCTCAAACGTAACAGAGCAGCTTCAAAATTGACAAGAAATTCATTACTTTAACTTGCACTTTCAGCTGCTATATGGCTGATCCAGCCATACATGAAATGTTGCAGTCTAATTTGCATATACTATTTACAAAATAAAAAGAAATCCTGCAACAGCTATATTCCACTACCAAGACCACTTGTTGCAGTGGCATTGGTCCATATTACACAACTTTTTACTGTACAGAGGTTTCAACTCCTCACAGAGTTCATGAAAGGGAAAGTCAAACTCTATAAACAATCATGGATCCCAAACCCCAACATGACTGTGGCCAAAACTTCAACTTCTCACAAGGATGTGTGTCCAGGCTAGCAATATTTCTCTTCAGAGCAAGTATATAGAGCTGAGCAGAACTTCAACTAATCTAAATATCCCAGCAGTGGTAAGCTCAGCACATTCACTGTATTGACTGGAAACAGCTACACCGATAACAAGGAAATCATCGGAATATTAACACTTTCTGTAATCATGTAACCTGTTGAGTGAGGTAGAAGACAAGTAGGTAGTTGGGAGCATCAACTCAAATGTCTTGAGACATGAGAACCTGTACATATTTGCAAGTTCTTTGCAATATACTTCAGTTGTGAGTTTATGGCCGGACTTGGAAGGTTATTGTACAAATCATTGTCACTTAGAAACATTATATGCAAATTCCTACTTTGTTTCACAGCAATTATGATCAGTTTATTCTTTTTGCCTTTTGACATCAAAAATAAGAATTTTGCACATGAAACTTCTAGAGCGAGGATTTGGGCAGTATGCGAGATGAGGTCACTCTATGATAAATGTCACATTGGCTCTAAGCTACAACAATTAACATTATCTAGTAATGATCTCTACAGCCGGAACCTATAGCAGGAACTCGCTTGGAATACACATATGATGGTCACATATGAAGTCTCTAAACACCTTGGAGTTAAGGAGCAGCTCCGAGAGAGTTACCATGTTCAGGCTCTTGGTAGTTTGACAAGCTATTATCCGACTCCTGGAGCGAGGAATGGGAGGGGGTCGGGGATGTCAGGAGGGACGAAATGGGCGATGTCAGACTTGAGGTGAGGCTCAGTCCAACCCCACTACTGCTGGCAGTACTGCCACTGCTGATACTCTGGCCGTCATCCTTGTATGGCAGGGGTGAGAACAAGGGCTGATACGTGTTACTGTACTGGTCTGAGAGCGGAGCAGGGCTGTACGGCGTCTGGGTATATGAGGGTGGGTTAAGGTATGCTGTGTCACCAATAGGAGACTGGCAGTGGTCTGGGTATGAAGGCTCTGTTGGGTGATGCTCAACAATGTAGCTTTCCTGGTTTGGGATATAAGGAGCGGGGGAAGGAGCCAGATTCATGGAGTGTGACGAAGGACTTGGCAGCTCAATGGGACTCTGGGACAACTCAAGAGACTGTGGGGAATTCATGAAGGACACTGGAGGCTTCATGTCCTGGTAATTATTAAGTAGATTGGTTGAACTCTTGATGATCTGAGACACAGTAGCATTTGGGCTTTGGCTCAGGTTGTGGGATATGTCCAGCATGGTGGGAACACCTTGGTTCATGTTGGAGGGCTGCATCATGCCTGGAGATGAAGACTGGATCATACTGTGGGGAGAGTCCATCATGCTATGTGGTGACTGCATCATGCTCTGAGGAGACTGCATCATGCTGTGTGGTGAGGGGAGCATGGAGTGTGGGGACTGGAGTAAGCTGTGAGGGGACTGGACCATACTCTGGGGGGAGTTACAGTGCAATGGTGGTGAGTGGACTAAAGGGTTGTTGCCTTCTGCAACCATCTCTGTCAATGAAGGATCAGCTTCCATGTTCTGCAACATCTGCTTCATCTGTTCCAACCCATTGCCTTGCAGCATCTGTTTCATCTGCTCTATGTCCATTCCATTTAACATCTGTCTTATCTGTTCTCCAGTCAGTGAGTCAACTTTATGTTTCACATCCAGATCAGAGAGGTTGAGGTCCTGACGGCACTGGCTGATATGCCCCGCGGTTATTTGTGGCCTTATGTTGTTCTGCATATTTGCACACATCAGGTTCCGGCGCTGGACAGACATGTTCTCAAACAGCTCAGAGTGGCGTCTGACAGCCTGTAAGGTTCGCATCAACCCCTCAAACAAAGGCTTCCCTGACACTTCGCCATACTTCCACAAAATGTACTGCTGCAGAATCCGCTGAAAATTCTCTCTTGTGGAATCCTGGCCATCACAATTAAACACAATGATCAGGACCAGGAGATAAGCCATCCGGGAATCCACATTGTACTGTCGGAGAGAGCCCAGGATTTCTCTGAACTTGCTGAAAACTTCGGGGGACATTGCTTTCTGAATCATATTCATGTTGGTGACCATGGGCTGAGCTGGAGAGTGGATATTGTTGTAGCTGCCAGTTTCCTCATTGATGAAGCTGGAGGCAAACACCAATGCAATGACTGTGATATTTTTCTTGATGGTCATTCCTTGGACCATGTGTGTGAGATTGTTGAATTCTGGGAACTGCCTGAGGAACCGTGTCAATCTCTCGGCAAAGCGTTTGTAGATGGACATCACATCAGCTGGGGTGTTTTTGGTGTAGGGCAGTTGCTGGTCAACCAGCTTGATGTTGCTGATCACACGGGTTAGCATATCGACCTCACTTTCATTCAGGTACTGCGATGCTGGGTTGAACACCCGCTCCACCCTCATTTCCTCATCATCACTTTCCCTCTTGATGCCTCTGCCAAGGCCCCTGTCAGGACTCTCTTCCTTGGTGCCACACTGCTGCATCACCTTGGGTGGGATTGGCCCATACTGTATGGGCGTGAGGGGTCCCGAGACGGGTGTGGGCGGAGAGCTGTTTGGAGAGGACCCAGAGGAGCCAAGGTCCACCTGGCGTGTGGGCGGGTGGTAAGTGGGTGAGGGATTCGTGTTGTGTTGGTAGCGCGACACCTGTGTTTTGGAGGAGGCATTAGTGTGGTAGGGCGAGGAGGCATCCTTCATGACACCACTAGACGCAGTGCTGCATGCCCTTCCACCACCTCCAGCTCCTCCCACACTGCCCCCACCACCCGAGCCCCCAGTTGAGCCGCCCTGCTGGTACATCATCCGTTTGGTGAGGCGTGTCTTCATCAGCTGTAGTCTCTCGTCTTCGCTCATTACCCATGACTTTGTCATACCGATGCTCTCACACTTTGCAAACCTGTGGCACAAGGCAAACAATATGATCACAGAACTACTTCATTATCAGGTTTCATTGAGAAACAGCATGTACTTATTCAGAAGTCTAGAAAGGTTTATTTTGAATATAAATCTATCTAAAAAAGAAGAGAGCAAATAAGAGCTAATAACCATATCTTATACAGGTACATAGATGAACTTTCCTACTAACTAACTGACTGCCTATCTCACTACCTGACTATCTAACTGACTCAATTAATACCTGATTAACTGACTGATAAATGGACTGACTCCCTGACAAGTGAACAGGCTTATCTTACATACATATCAACTAATTAATGATAGGACTAATGGAGTCGCTCACTAACCTGCAATATTTACAAAACTTCCTTGAAGCAATGGAGATGGCGCACTTCTGGTCCCCTCCGCAGCGGAAGTGCTTGTAGGCGTCATTCTGGACGGAGCGCCGGAAAAACGCCTTGCATGAGTCACATGAGAGGCCGCCGAAGTGCAGCGATTTTGCAATGTCTCCGCACACCTGCAAATTACAAGAAGCTTAGTTTGAAGTAGAACTAAGAAATTATGGAAATGATTTCTTACATTCATGCTGTGTAGGGTGAAGAGTGAACGATTGGGTTATCTATTATTATCTATGAATTACTTCATATTTCCTAAGGAATATATATTGTGTAAATTATTTGTTATACCTACAAAATTAGTGTAGGGAGGTGGAGTGTATTAATGATTTGTTATATACAATAAAAAATATTCAATACACTCATCATGAGGGTTGTTTTAAGATTCAATTGCAAAGTGAGACAATTTTAACATTCTAAAGCACTTAGCTAAAGTCAATAGATTTCTTTTCTGCAATTTTACCAATATGGTGAAGTGCTTTGCTGTTATTCCTTATCATTCATGTAAAAAGTGGTCATACTCAGGAAAGATAACACTAGTTCTTATGAAATAAATAATGAAATAAACAATAAGGAATGGTGGTTATCATGTAAAAAATAAACAAATACCTGGATATTTACAATCATATGCAATACACAAAGAGAGATATGTGATATCTGTGGCACATGGTAGATAAGCAAGAAAGAAAAAAGGAAGAGGAAAAAAGAAGAGTAAGATGAAGATGGGGCTAAGGCAGAGGGGAGGAGAAGTCAGACAGAAGAGAGTGGGAGGGAAAAGGAGAAGGTGAAAGAGAGGAAGAAGAGAAAACAGTGAGAAAAGCAAAGGAGGGGGAGAGGCCTATGTGGGGTAGAGGGGCTGAGAGAAAGAAGGAAGGATAAAAAGAGGGAGCAAGAGAGGAAGAAAGACAGAAGGAGGTCAAGAGAAGGAGTAGGAAAGGAAAAAAAAGTAAGCAAGAAAAGAAACAAGAAAGGTAAAAAAAGACTAACAGTAAGACATAATGAGAAAGAAAGTGGGGAAATGGAAGAGAAATATGAATATCAATAGGAAGAAGAATAAAGAGAAAGAGAGGGGGTAAGGGGGGTGGGGGAGAGGTGACAGAAAGGGAGGCAGACTCTAGACAGGTACAAAAACTGAGTCACAATGTTGCTACTTAATGTACCAAGTGACCCATCCTGTACCTACATTCATTCAAAAAATCAATAACACTCTACTCCCTCAATCTCGTCCCCCTGACCTACACATTTCTCTTCCTCTTCTTCTTTCCTTCTCTCCCTTTCTCTTCTTTCCTTCTCTCCCTTTCTCTACCTTTCTCTTCTTCTTTCCTTCTCTCCCTTTCTCTCTCTCTCCCTCTCTTTCTTTCTTCTCTCTCTCTCTCTCTCTCTCTCTCTCTCTCTCTCTCTCTCTCTCTCTCTCTCTCTCTCTCTCTCTCTCCTCTCCTCTCTTTCTCTTTCTTTCTCTCTCTCTCTCTCTCTCTCTCTCTCTCTCTCTCTCTCTCTCTCTCTCTTTCTCTCTCCTTCTCTCTTCTCTCTTTCTCTTTCTCTCTCTCCTCTCTTTCTCTCTCTTTCTCTCCTTCTCCTTCTCCTTCTCCCTCATCCCCCTCTCCCTCTCCCTTATCCCCCTCTACTCCTCCTCCCTTATCTCCATCTCTCTCTCTCTTCACCCCCTCTATCTCTCTCTTTTTTTCTCTTTCTTTCTTTTTCTTTCTTTCTTTCTTTCTTTCTTTCTTTCTTTCTTTCTTTCTTTCTTTCTTCTTTTCTTTCTTTCTTTCTTTCTTTCTATCTGTCTGTGTCTGTGTGTGTCTCCCTCTTTCTCTCTATCTCTCCTCCTCTTCACTCTTCCTCTCTCACTCTCTCTCCCTCTCCTTCTCCCTGCCTCTTACTCCCTCTCCTTCTCATTCTATCTCTCTCTCCTTCTCTCTCCCTCTCAAGTTTTCTCCTTCTCTCTCCCTCTTATTCCCTCCCCTTCACTCTCCCTCTTCTTCTCTCTCCTTCTCCTTCTTCTTCTCTCTCCTTCTCCTTCTTCTTCTCTCTCCTTCTCCTTCTCCTTCTCCTTCTCTTTCTCTCTCCCTCTCATTCGCTCTCCCTCTCACTCCCTCTCCTTCTCTCTCCCACGCACTTCCCCTCCTTCTCTCTCCCACCCCTTCTCCTCTCTCCCACTCCCTCTCCATCCTCCTTCTCTTTCTCTCCAACCCACTCTCCCTATCATTCTCTCTCTCATTCCCTCTCCCTATCCCTCATTCTCCCTCCATCCATTCCTCCCTTCCTCCCTCTCTCCCTTCTTTCCTTCCATCCCTCCATCTCTCCCTACCTCCTTAACTTCCTTGTCCCCATCCTCCTTTCCTCTCTTCTTCTCTCCGTCTCTCCCTCCTTTCCTCCATCCATAACTCCCTTTCTCCGTCTCACTCTCTCACTCTCTCGCTCTCTCGCTCTCTCGCTCGCTCTCGCTCTCCCTCTCGCTCTCCATTCCTAACTCCCTTTCTCTCCTCTCTTTCTCTCAGCCTTTCTCCTCTCCCTCCCTCTACCTAAAATATCCACCAACAAATATCACCTGTCAACTCCACTCGATAAATGCACCTGCCACTGTCACCAGAAACACACACTTATCAATACTACAAGATTAGCAATCCATGTACAGTGGGGTTGGCATGATAACGATACTACCTGGATATTATCAAAACGAAAACGAGGAAAACACATATGTAGTTTAAAATTTGATAGACCATTGGAATTACTCGGTTATGTATCTATTATGCAGAAAGATATTTATCAATTTGACTGGACTGAAACTTAAACGGCGATATTTCTCAAATGACAGGCCCTAAGAAGGACGTCTCATCACGCAGAAAGGAGTCAAGTCTTGCTTTGGCCTTACAAACCTACCACTGACCTTTTAAGACACTAAAAATAACCTGTTATCAAGACTGACCTCAGAGATTCGACACAAGACAAAAAAACATCGCGATCATCGCGAGAACCACGACCCGACCCAGCTCGACCCAACCCGACCTAACAAGGGACAGCAAGAGGGTCTCTCTCGAAGTCTGCCCGACGCTGAGATGACCCAACCCGATTGGACTTCATTGCCGCGCAACTGACCTGGCATAGGCGCACAGGTTTCCTGGAGGGAGTGTCCCCACTGGAGGGCATGGAGGTGGCTGTATTTCTTGCAACGGCCGACATCTTGGCAACGCCCACGGCTGTTGCACCGCCGCCCGCGCTGCCTCCGCCACTGTTGCTGCCGCCGCTGGCCACTCCTACGTCACTGCCGTCCGGACCTCTGTAAGGGAAAGGGGCATCAGTATGGATAGCAAGGGAAGGGAACATCGGTATGCACGCAAAGAAGGGGAATGTCAATGTAACAAACAAGAGAAAGGAACGTCGATGTGTGCGTCAGGAGAGGGAACGTTTGAAAGTATGGCAGGAGAAAAGGGAAACGTTTGCATGTATGGCAAGGAAAACAATGGATTAATGAGTTTGTCTTTAGCTCTCGCTCTTCTCCCACTTCTTTGCTCTCTCCCCTCTCCCCTCTTTTTCTTTTTCTCTCTCCCTCCCTCTTTGATTGTCACTCATTTTTATCTCTCTCTCACTCCCCTTCAAACCCAATGACTTCATTCTGTACAACTTTTAATATGATAGAAAATAGAAAAGTCTATCCAGCAATTATAATAATAATAAGAAGAAGAATCACTATCATTACTATTATAATGATCATAATAATAATGACAAAAATAGCTGTAGTAACAACAACAGCAATAAAAATAATAATAATAATAATGATAATAATAATAATAATTATTATTATCACAATAACAATAATAAGATACTGATATTAATGCTACTAATAGCAATGACAATACCAATAACAATAACAACAACAATAATAATAATAAAACTAATAGTAGTAGTAGTAACAACAATACTACTACTGCTACTGCTGCAACTACTACTTCTACTACTACTACTACGTCTACTACTACTACTGCTACTACTACTACTTCTAATAATAATAATAATACCAATAATAATAACAAAAACAATAACAACAATAATTATTGTGATGAAGATGATGATAATAACAAAAGTAATGCCAAAAATAATAGCCATTTCAATTCGTAAATCACCATGTTAATAATAATTATACCTAGAAATGTATATATTCTACAAGGAACTTACTCGTAAGAAGGGAAACTCTTAAATCGTGATCTTTCCTTTGATAATATTCGTCATTTTCAGAATTCCATTTCCCGATATGGGTGGAATTCATGTAATATGATCTGTTTTTTTTTTCTTTCTTTCAAATTATTCTCTCTCTCTCTCTCTCTCTCTCTCTCTCTCTCTCTCTCTCTCTCTCTCTTCGATTTTTATGTATTCTTTAATCAATTCCATATCAATATCATAAAATCTCTTTGCACAATTTTTCTTACCAATACATACACCCTGCATACTCTAAGACACACAGCCACTTTCTCCAATACAAGAATACACATAGATTACTCCCCGTCGCTCCCTCCTCCCTCTCCCCCTCCCCCCTCACACACGCACAAGCAATCACACACCCACACAACACCTCGTACCGCCCACGCCGCCCACCTCCACTGCCCAGGTCCGCCCGCATATTACCTAAGTTGGCGATGACCGGAGGGCGCCTCGGCCGCGAAGTACGGCGCGTGAGTGATATATCCGGGCGGTGACATTGCACTACGGCGAAACGAGGCATAATTACACAGCTCGGACGTGGCGGCAAGGTGGCGGCGGTGGCGGTGGCCTGCCTCGGCGCCGCTCGGAGGGGGGGCAGGAGGCGGCGTGTTGGCGTAGCTGGATAGAGGGGGCGCTGGAGAGGCCTCGTGGGGGCGGGGGGCGGGCAGGGGGGGGGGGAGATGAGGAGGAAGGAGTGGAGGAGCAAGAGGGGAAGGAGCAGCGCGAGGAGCAAGAGGAGCGAGAGGGGGGGAGCGCCGCCACCCCTTGCACGTGTAAGCGTTGCCAGCCCCGGAGAAGAACTCCTCGGGTTTGTTGATTATCTGCATGGCTGAGGCGGGGGAGGCGGGGGAGGCGGAGGAGGCGGGTGGAAGTGGAGGAGGAGAAGGGGGCGAGGGAGGAGGAAGAGAAGGGGAGGCGAGTAGACGGGGAGGTGGGGGAAAGAAGGAAGAAGAAAAGGGACGTCCGCGACTTGCTAAACTGGGTTAATTGTCAAGGTCTCGGGCTGCACTTGGTGGCGTAGGTGATGTCCGATTTCTTGCGCTTGGCCTCCCGCCCGCGCGAGTGACAAGCCGGGCGCCGACGTCACTAACTGCAATCGCAGACAGTCAACAGCCTGTCTGGCCGTGCGTGCGTGCTTCCGACGAGGCCAGAGGGGCCTGCATTAGCTGTGAGGAGCAGCGAGAGGCGGCGGCAGCCCGACCGCAGCCGCGAGGAGGCGCCTGCACTCACATGAGCGCCGCCGACATCATTTCTCACCGTCTTCGACGCAGAGAAAGCAGCGAGTGCGGCTTCGTCAGCCAAGGTGAAAACGTGATCAAGCCGCCGCCTCCTCCTCCTCCTCCTCTCCGCGTGCATGAGCCCTCCTCCTCCTCCGCCGCCGCCGCCCTCGGGATGCTACTGCTTGTCCCTCGTGCACTCTCGCCGGGCCGGCCGCCGACCCATTGTTCTCTCCTCGTCCCAAGATGCCGCCAGGAGCCGCTCCGCCTCCGTCGGGCACTCGGCGGGACTCCACCGCCGCTTCGAGGGGACAGATGAGGGTCGGCTTGGAGACAGGTAGGGAGGGTGGCCGGTGCAGCTCGCACCTGACACACACACACACTCACACGCGCGCGCACGCCAGCCGCTGATTGGTGGCTGTCCTGAGCACTGAGCGCTGTGCACTTGGGGAGACTCGCACTGAGGAAAGTTCAGAAGCAGTCACCAAGGAAAAACGCGTCTCAATGCAACAGCTTAACTTGACGTTCACTCACTGACAAAGAGATACAGACTGACACACTACGCTGCTATCTGCTAGTTGCTAGTCACTGCGGTGTCCACCTTATCATTAGCCAATGAAATTATGTTGGAATCCAACCCGTCTTGCTGCAAGTGCTAGCAGGTGTGTGAGTGTTATCGGGCAAAGGGACTAGGACTAACACTGAAGAAAATATTGAATTCATTTTTTTCACACGAGCGTGTTAAGTCATCCGTGGCGACGACCCAGCGCCTCCGCCTGCAGGTCTTATCATTTTAATTCCTCTCATTTCCCGCGTACGTTTGGCTGATCTATTAATCTAATTCAGTTTTCTGAAAATCTCCATTTACCTGTTCAACGACGAGTGCTGCAGTGCGAAGGGCGTGTCCCGCGGAGCAGGCAGCCAATAAGAAACCGAGCTGCACGGCTTACAGCGATGTGATTGGCTAATGCACGTCGCTTCAACATAAATATCGCAGTTCGGTGTTCAGTGTTGACCATTGCGAACCATTATCTCTTATGGCATTTTTTCTCAACCAGTAACAATGTGCTACTTCTAGACATCAACGCCGAAAAAATCATTTTGGCGCGATGAGAGAGAAACAAATAATACAAACATATAAACTACGCACTACGTCGCTCTCGATCCGTCATCCGTTCTCCAGTTAAGTGTTATGGAGTCCAAGAATTCAGTGATAAGATATCTTGTGGGGAGGTCGGAGCGTCGCGCTAGCTCCCTGGAGAGAATTTATATCGTTAATGACTTTACAATCCCCCCTACCCCCTCCTACCTCCCACGTAGGAGCTGGGTTGTTGTTATGGTTGCATCTCGGTGGCGTGGTGGGAGGGGGAGGGGGGAGGGAGAGGTGGCCTCGTGGATCTCGACATTCCACCACGTCACATGCACGCACACACGCACGCACGCACGAGCAATCACTTATGCTCTCAGTCTTCGCCTCTGTCTCTCAGTGTTAGTTTCTATCTTTCTGACTCACACTCACGATCTCTCTCTCTCTCTCTCTCTCTCTCTCTCTCTCTCTCTCTGACACACACACACACACACACACACACACACACACACACACACACACACACACACACACACACACACACACACACACACACGCACACACACACACATGTACATTCATATTCACATACATACACATACATGTATGCATGCACGTACGTATGGATTCATATTCATATGCACATGCATATACATATCCACTATAGAGCCCACGGAATATCCCGACGAGTACAGCCCTGCTAGTGCCATGGGGGGCAGCGGAAGAGGGAAGGGCAGAGGAGGGGAGGGGACAAGAGGGGGAAGGGAGGGGAAAAGAGGGGAGGGGAGGGGAGGGGAGGGGAGGGGAGAGGAGATGAAAGAAGAGGGAAGGGGGGAGGAGAGGAAAGGAGACGAGAGGAGAGGGGTAGGAGAGGAGAGGAGGGGATGGGAGTGCGTATGGGCTGCTAAGTAACCCTGTCCTCACTCGCGATTGGGTGAGATAAGGCCGTAATCTTGCACGAAATGCCCCGTCACTGCACTTTTGGTTGGGGTGAGTACTGGGTAGGGGGTGGCAGCACACAGTCACCTCACGCACGCAACCGCTCTCTTGCCTCATCCCCCCCCCTTCCTTCCTTCCTTCCTTCTTTCCTCCCTCCCTCCTTTCCCCAGCCAACCCCTGCTACTACGCCCCTCCTTATCCTCGCCTCGAATCCCTCAACCTAACCCCCCCTCCTTCCCCTTGCTATCTCCGATCTTCCTGTACCGCCCTCCCGAACCACCTCGCCCCCACCCTTTCCCCACCTTAACCCCATCAACACCACCCTGCTTCATATCGCTTGCCCTCCAAACACACACATGGATTCACCCTTCCCCTACCCCTTCCCCCACCTCCCCCTCCTTGCCTCCTTCCCCTCCCCTTCCTCAACTTCCCCTCCCTTCCCCACCTCCCCTCCTTCCTTCCCCTTCCCCACTTCCCCTCCCCCACCCTCATGTAGTCCTTCTCGCCTTCCAGATGTTTATTTCATGTATAATCGTGTCCGTTTCCAACGTGTGGGATATATGCATACATACGAACTTGCATACATATATACAGATAGATAGATAGATAGATTGATAGAGAGAGAGAGAGAGAGAGAGAGAGAGAGAGAGAGAGAGAGAGAGAGAGAGAGAGAGAGAGAGAGAGAGAGAGAGAGAGAGAGAGAGAGAGAGAGAGAGAGAGAGAGAGAGAGAGAGAGCCTAGAACGCCAGGGCCTCCCCATCATCCACCTACCCATTCCCCTCCCCACCCAACTCCTCTCTTCCCATCCCCATCCCCTCCCCGACTCCCGCTCCCCCTTCCCTCCTCCCCTGCCCTACCAATTCAAACGCCACCCTTCCTCCCTTCCCTCCCTCCCCCCACCCCTTTCCCCTCCACCACATGGGGCAGCATTTCCCAATCGGTCTCCCCATCCGCACCTAAATCACATTAAACTTCACCCTGCTATTGAGGAAGCCCATTGCCACGCAGACGCTCCCGCCAAAACTCCATGGGAGAGGGTGGCGGAGGGGGGGAGGAGGAGGGGGGGGCATGGAAGGGGTGGTGGAGGGGGGCATGGAAGGGGTGGTGGGGGGGGCATGGAAGGGGTGGTGGTGGAGGGGGCATGGAAGGGGTGGTGGAGGGGGGCATGGAAGGGGTGGTGGAGGGGGGCATGGAAGGGGTGGTGGAGGGAGATGGTATTGGGAAGGGGGAAGAAGAGGGATGGGGAAGGGGATGAAAGGGGAATGGGCGGAGAGATGGAGAGTGAGAGAGGGGTAGCGAAGGATATGGACGAGGGGAAAAGGAAGAGTGAAGGAGACAAGAGAGGGAAGAGGGAGAGAAGAGGAGAAGGCAAGAGGAGGTGAGAGTACAAAGTGAACGGAAGGGAAAGGACGCGGAAAGAA